TGAAACTCAATTTTGATCCAAGAATCACTATAATGCTATTAGTCAGATCTGAATTGTGAGCATTAACATACAAGCAGAGCTGGGATGCAAGTTTCTGCACTGGGAGCTGTTGTCTTATTTTAAAATAAGCTTCAGAGTAGCCAGCAGCAAAATGGATCTGAACATATTTTTAATTGGGATGGCTTCTCTGAATAAAAAGATCTCTCTCATTAAATGTTAAAGTGTCCCTTAATAACCTTGCAGACCTTTTCCCTTGTGCTCAGCAGCAGCAGTCTACAGGTGCTGCATTTAACTTCATGTGGCTTGTTCTTCTGTCCTGGATGAGACCTCCTGATGCAGTTACTACATCATTCATCTCGCTCTTTAGTTGGCTTGATCAGGCTTGCTGCAGCAGCTTCTCACGTAGCCTGGCTTGAGACGTGTGGGGGCTAAAGTTGTCTGTATCCATTAGCATGGGAAGGCAACTGGACAGGTCTCTCTTGCTTTTGCTTCTCATGATGCTGATGAAGAGTCATTTTTGCCTCCTAAAGCAGGATGTGCCAATGTCCTGTGTTGGCTCTGCATTTGGAGTATAGGTTGGCCCACACAGATTGAAAATTCTGGGCTAGCTGTGGTGGTGAGATATGTGGCACGGGACAGTAGAAGCAATTTTTGATACATGTGGGTATTGCATTTGGAGATTTTTGGAGTATGCTGAACCTGTGATAGCCAGTGAATGTTTCTGTAGTGTTGCATTAGAAACAAACGTGACTGTGATTGTGTTATAGAATGTATTTTCTCTGTCATAGAAGTTTATCTTTATGCATAAAAAGCAAAGTTAAAGAAATGCTGCTTTTAAGAGGGAAAAGCTGGAAAGATAACAAAGTACCTGAAATAAACATTCTCTGCAACATAATCACCGTCATTCTGTGGAGGAAGGGAGACTGCTGACCCTGAACACTAGTAAGCAGGCTGTTTTACAAGATCAGAAAAAGCAACACAAGAAGAGGTGACGGTGAGGAAAACCCTGCAGGTCCTCTACCTCTTTGCAAGGAACATTCAGTCACTGCAGCAGCAAGCAGGCAGAAACTGTGTGCATCCTAGAACCAAAGCTAAGTATTGGCTACCTCAGGCCTCAAGGGACTTGCTAAGTATCAGGAAGACAGTATGTGCTACAAATGTTGCTTTTTTTTCCCCTTTGGTGCTTTCCCTTTTTGTCCAAAGGGTTCCTTTTTAAACGTTTTGTTTTTGTATGCTATGGACCTCTTGTTACTGGAGACGAAGTGATGCTAATGTCTAGTGTTGTGCTTTCTTCTGTGTATGCCAAATGGCTGTTAGCTCTGTGGCCTCTGTAGTCTTAAGCAATTCTGTGCTAGATCACGTCTGTTCCTGGTGTGTGGTAAAGGTTTTGCCTTTCTCAGATCGCACAGAGAACATAGCTAATCTGCAAGTGGATTTTACACTGAGGGGTGCTCTCTGGTAAAAACAGCTAGAGTCGAGCTTCTGCTGCATTCAGTCACTGTCACTGCACTCCTTTACTGTGAAGAAGAAAGAAGTTGAATGTGTTTCGTCTTTGTGAGGGGCTGGAGGAATCCTCAGCTTTCTGCATCGACAAATCAAATTGTTAGATTTCCACTGCAGTCTTCTGACCCATGTGCATTCAAGTCTGTTTGCCTGGAAGATGCAACTATTGCTCATGCTGATCAGTGTGAGCCCAAGCCTTGTAGCCCTCAACGAGCCATTCCAGTGAAGCTGTAACTGCCAATGAGCTTAGAAATGAGACTGGAACTGCAGCTGGAAGCGCGTAGAATTGGAGCTACTGCAGACCTAGGAAGAGGACTGTAAATGTGAAGGAACGTTACTGATGAGAGATGGAAAGGGCAGATAAAAGGGACTGGGAGGTTATATTTCCTCTTGTATTACAATGCTAATTAGAATAGCTGGAGAGCTGTCTCTTGCTGTAGCTCCAGGCTAAAGCTGAGCTTCTCCAGCGTAGTCAGAAAGTGGACTTGACAGCAAGCTCCTTCAGAGAGAGGCTTGTGAATAGTGTGGTGAGCAGCATTAGTGCCTTTTTCTATTTCTGGATATTACCTATATCTGTTTCTGCTTTGAAGCACAAGGTCCGTCTGTTCTGCAGAGTGTATCTGCTTCTCCCTGAACAGAGGTGTGGTGTGTTTAGCCACCTTGAGATTCTCTCTCTGTGGTAGCAAAGGATGCTCAGATATTGTAGGCAAGGAGGGCTTCACTGTGCTGTTCAGTGCAGAGAAGTCTGCAGAACAAAATTAGGTTGGTGTGGCAGGGTGACTGGAGCAGAGTGGCAGAGACTGGATTCCTGGTGTTGGATGGGAATGCAGGTGGCAAAGCAGTGACCCCTGGAGCCATCTAGAAAAAACAGCTGCCTTTCAGACTTCAGTTACTGGTCTGCGCAGGCATCCCGCTCAGTGGAGATGTGGTTAAAAGACTTTCCTTTTCTGAGACGCAGTGGAGGCAAGGAGCTTATTTCAGGGTCCTGGCATTAGACAGTAGTCCGATAGTACAGCAGCTTGCTGCTGACTCCTGCCCTGGCACCTGGCCGTGGGCTGCTCTGCGCGTGCCTGGCTGTTTCCACGTGTTGTGCTGATAGGTGACTGACAGCAAGTTTCCTTTCTCATGTTTCAGGAGCTGTTGGCCAGATGCTGCTGGAAGCTGACAAGGAAAAGCTGATTTGGAGACAAGCGGCCAGAAATGTTTGGACACGTCGTCACTTTGGATCTGTAAGTCCTTGTTTGAGGGAAAGCTGCCTGGAGGCACTGTGAGTATTTGAAGTGCTTCTGGGAATTCTCAGATCATGAGGGTAGGTTTCAAGTCCCAGTATCTTTTCCGGGTAGGCGGGGATGAGATGGCAGGTAGCATAGTTGCTGGCTCTAGGGTAGGAAGCAGGACAGCCCTGTTTGAGCCTGAGGAACTGTGTGCTGAGAGACAGGAGGCCTTTGGCATGTTCATTCTGAGCACCTCCGCAATGGAAACATGCGTGGACCCATGGGTGCAGCTGTTCCTGGAAGCCTCTGCTTCTCTGCCAGCCCTTGTGGCTGGTGGTTTTGCCTTGATGCTGAACCAGATCCTGCTGGGAGTTAGTGGAAAAGCAGACTCAAACTCTTCTGGCCAGGTCCTTCCTGGAGGTGCATGTTCTCCTTCTCTCTCTCTCTCTCTCTCTCTCTCTCTCTCTCTCTCTCTCTCTCCCCCTCTTTCTCCTCCATACTTTACAGCTTTGCCCAACAGAGCACTTATGCTTTTGTGAAGCTGTTTTTTCCTGTGCTAGTCGAGACCCGACTATAACATTGGTGCAAGGAAGGAGGCCAGGCAGCTTGTTGAGGCAGGGCCAGCACTAGGGCATCTCTTCAGTTTGTTTTGGCAGAGTTTGAGTTTGCGTGGTCCTGGTTTGCCTGCCTGTTCCATTCACCTTCAATCTGGCTCTCCCTGTGTGCGTACAACTGCTCCACACCCTGCACTCCTGTCCCACCTCTCAGGGCTTGATGCCATTGACAGGAAAAAAGCAGCACAGCAGCAGAAGTGCCGCAAGGAAGGGAAGGCTCCACTGCAGTCTCTCTTGTGTCAATGGCAGTGATGGTCACAGAGCTACACTATTACAGCTGGTTCCTAGAATAACCCAGTTCTTTTCTTGTAGTGAGGGGTACCCCAGGCTTTGACAGAGAGGAAGGTTGTTTCTGAACTTGTGTTATATCCCTGGTTGGCTGGACACTATTTTACAGAAGCCTGTTAGCTGCAAGGTAGAGCATGGCATGTTGCTTGTTGGAAGTCAGAAAGTAGCTTGCCTTCCTCTCTCGTGGAGGTGTGATTTATCACAACTGTAGGCATAAAGACGTAATGTTTTGGCTCAAATAAGAATCTGATAATTGCCAGCTCATTTGTAGGTGTGAAGCACTGACTTAAAAGGATGACTGAGGTAATTGTTAGCATTACCAGGCTTCTGTACCAAAGGCTTCGCAGTTAGCATCCTTCTGCCGTGTTGGGGGAGATTAGCTGAGAGGGTCCCATTTCACAGGTTTGTTTAGTCCTTCCTGGAACCAAGGTTCCCTTGAAGCTATTGCTTCACAAATTTTAGGTTTGTGTGGTCCCAGTTGCTTGAGTGTCTTGAACATGTCCTTGGCCAGGTCAGGTGCCTTTTGAGCTCTTGCTCAAGGCATGTTGTGGCCCAACTATCCTAAGCTAATTTCATTTACTCTCAGAAGATCTGATGTAGGTTGGGACAGGTACCTGGAGTTAGATGACCATCCAATTGTCCTTGGTTATAAACATTCCCTATTCCTTACTTATTTATGGGGTGAGATTTCAAACTGTCTGTTTTGATGGATGCTAATCTATCTGTTTCTCTTCTTCAGGGCGTCTGAGTGAGTGTTCCTGCTTCATGAGGCTTCAGATTTGAGCCCAGCCTGGTAAGTGCTCAGGTCCTTGCAGGCTATAGGAATTACTGTGATTTCAGCTTGAAATATCTTCGTGTGCGTCTCCTGTCCTTAGTCTGGCAGGAATTGATAGAAGAGTCTCCTAGATCACCTGTTTGGTGGGGTGTTGACAAACCTGCTTCTGGTCAGGATTTCAGCATTCCTCTCTGAAGAAGAGACATGTCTTCCCAGCGAGTCAGACCCATCTGTTTTGCTTGGGGATGCAGTGAAATATGCATTTGGTATGCTGGATGTGACTTTTCTAAAGTATGAGAGATCTCTTCACCTACTTGAGTCTTAGGAAAAGGGATCTTGAAGGAATGGCTGCCTTGAAGGTATGTCAATGGGAGTCAAATGGCCCTGCCTGTAGAAAAGGAGAGAGCGTAACCTGAGTTGAAGCAGATCCTGCACTTTGAAGTGCTGCAAGTCAGGCACCTGAGGATTGCAGAGATGCTAGGCTTGATCAGTGTTAGGATCCAGCAAGGGAAAATGGAATGAGGAGTGCTTAACCCAAATATAGGGGAATTATGAACAATGTATGTGTTATCATCAGGGAAAGAGTGGTATTGGCCTCTCCAGGGGTTGCTTGGCATTTCTGGGAACTCTTGTCTTGCATACAATGGGGTGGTTGAAATCCTGGCTCCTTGGGGTAAGTCTTCCTGCCCTCCACTGCAGACCCAAAGTAGTGGAAAGGAAGGAAATTTTTCCATGTGTACAAGATAGCTGCTTTCCTTCTACCCCATTTTTTGCTCTTGTACTGCTACTGTGCCTGCAGCAGGAAGAATCCTGCCCAGCATGGCTAGGGTAAGGGGACTAATGTGGTCTTTTGCTAGTACTATTGCATGTTGCCTTAGGTACCAGTGTCAATGGCATTGTTCCCTAATTTGATGCAGCCTGTGACTTGGGAGTGGTCTTTGTCTTTTCTGACAGAGTGAGCAGTTGTAATGGTATGATACCTCCTTCTGACAAGCCTCCTATTGTCTCTTCCATTGAGGTTCTGGTGTAAGCCAAAAACTTCTGGGTTTGGGCTCTTTAATGGCTGGAGTCTCCTCCTACATAGTCTCTGCTGACAGTGACAGCACATAATCGATAACTCCTGCTCCAGCTGTCACTGCTGCCTATAAGGCTTGCAGTTTCCATATTGGAAAAGGCCTTTCCTAAAGAGCCTAATCAATATGCTACTGTGAGGTCTGTTCTCGTTTGCTATATATAATCTGTACACACACAAACTACGTGAGTGTGTGTAAAGGGGGGGGAGAGGATGTACCAGCCCTCTGCTCTCACTGGCTGGGAGGACACAGCTACCTTTTACTTTGCTCCCTCTCCTGCAGCTGCTGCTCAAGGCTTGTGGCCACATCCTTTCCCTGCTCTGTTAGCACTCTGCATGGGGACCTGTTTTGGGACTTCAGGAGAGCTGAATTCCTGCTGGGTCACTTCTAGTGTTCGATGGAGCTCCTCTGACTTTCTCTTTGCTGTTGGTAGGTAACCTGCTTTCGGAGCCACACAGGTGGGAGGATGTCAAGCACAGCTCCAGCAAAGAAGCCTTACCGCAAGGCGCCCCCGCAACATCGCGAGATCCGCCATGAGGTACCCATCATTCGTGACGACCAGGATGGAGTGATCTTGGCTGAGCAGAGTCAGGTAACGGATTGCCGGGTGGCAAAGGGCTTAACTTCATTGTGCCAGCAAACGGGGTTTAGTTACAGCGAGGCAGGCCAGCTCAAGCAGGCAGAGGGTTTTGAGGTTTGCAACCTGAACTTCTCCTCATCATGGTCCCTGGAGTCCAGCAGTGAGAAGGAAGTGACAGGGAGCAAAGCAGAGTTGAATATCAAGAGCCAGACTGTCTCACCAGCAATTCCACGTGGTGGGAAGATGGGGCAGCGAAACGGGAAGCGGTGCCCAAACCGCAGTCGTGGGCACCTCAGCAAATTTATGAGTCGTAGCATGGAGACAGTTGTCGTGTCTGGAGATGAAAGACATCGTCCCACTTGCTCTTTCAAAAGCAGAAGCCTGGAACGCTCGCTTATGTTTAAAGAGCCTCCTGAAGTCTTGTCACCGAGGAAGTTTCGGGTCTCCTCTACGCACCTGCCTCTTAAAGGGATTCTGAAGCAGACCAATGTGACGGGCCCGTGCCCTGAGAGTTTGCGCAAGACCCGCTCAGTAGAGACACTTTCCCGTGGCCGTGGCTCATGCAAGTACAGTGACTCCCAGCTCTCCCTCAGCCGTAGGGAGAAGCGCTCACTGGAGCACAGCAGCAGCAGCGTCCCTGACTCTGTGAAGCGCAGGGAGAAGATCACAGAGGAAAAGCTGCAGTTCTCAAAATTCCTGGATGAGATTACCCAGCGGGTGCTGAGTCCCATCCGCCTGCGCTCAGTGGGAGAGACTAGGGGAGCAGAACAAGACCAGAACTCTCCCATTTTGCCCAGAAGCTCCATGCCAGAAGGCCAAGAGGAAGGTCACCTGCAAGGGGTCAAAGGCAAGCGTGCAACTGGAAGATCCCCCTGCCCAAGCAGAAGAAAAACAGAAAAGAAATGTGAGAGGCTGGGAATGGCTTCACGTCAGAGAAAGTGTGCTGAAGAGGCTGAGAGAGCTTCCAGACTAAGAAAGAAACCCGTCCTTGGGAGGAAGGACAGTAAGGAAAAACTCCTTTCCTTGGAGAGAAGGTTGGTAGATCTGTGTCAGTATGAGCTGCAGCAGCTGGCAGACCTGGGGCTGGCAGGGACATCCTCTGGGCAGCAGCACTCACTGTCCTCATGGAAAAGCAGTGCAGAGGGCAGAAGGGATGAAAGCAGTCCCTGTTCACAGCTGTTACAGCCACATCATCTGTGTGATAAACCTGGGCAGAAGTGTGCAGTGGAGCCGAACTACCCAGAGAAAGGATCCTTCTCCACTCCAACACGCTGGAGTCGGGAAGAGGGGCCTACCCCATCTAGACCTTCCCCTTCCTTCAGCCCAACACTAAACAAGGTAGGTGCCAGGGCCACTGGCTCACAGATAGGGGTCTCACAGAATCCAAAGCCTCCACCTGGATCTCATCTAGTCTGTAATGCTGGTAGGGGGAGTGAGAGCAGTCCCCCAGACCCCATGCTGTGGGTGCTTAATCACCAGGAGCTGCTCTCTTGTGGGTGCCACTCATGACTGCGCTCCAGGTTGGGTATATCTTCCTAGGAGGAGCCAGCTTGCCTTTGTCCCCAGGAGCTGGACAGACAGGACCTGGTGCTGTTCTCCCCACTGCAGACTTCCTAGGTGTTTGCAGGTTGGAGGGCAGCAGGCGTGTGCAGGAAGCAGACAGCTCAGTTATCAGGAGGTGTTGGGATGCTGCTGATGCTTTGTGTGTGCCCTGTGTCTGGCTGTCTTGGGGTACTGGATCTTTGTATGATGGCTGTCTCAGGTCTCTGTAAGCCTTCTCTTTTGTCCAGCCTGCCTTGGGTCTGTTGCCTTGCTTTAGTAGGATTCACATTATCCCCTTTGACTGGTCACTAGCATTTGCTATGTGTATTTGTTGGGGTAAAGGAGGCAGTTGATAGATAATTCTGCATTAATTAATTGATTGCCTTGTGGGGTCAGAATATAAGGAAAAAAATGGGTTGATGCTTTGCCTTTAGGAAGAGGAGGAAGTTTGTAGGTGGTAAGGACCACTCTTTTAAAGTGTGAACTGATGAAGGAAGCAGTCCTGTGATGTCTTAGTGCCAGGACAGGGGTGGTTTGCCTTCCGTAATATTGCTAGCAGCTTGATGACTTCATCCACAACTGTCTGTGGCATGACCTCTCAGCCCAGAGCTGGCTGTGACACTTAATAGACAATCTAAAGTGTGGCAGCACTTTGGGTTTGTATAGTGCTGTTGGTATACCAAGCAACAAAAGTAATCCGTGGACGGCTTAGACTTTGTGAGAATGGTCACAGTCTTGGCCTTTCACAGAAAATATGGTTGATTCTAGTGCTAATTAAATCTCTCCTAGCCATGCTGGCAGGCAGCAGCCATCTCACAGGTTAACACAGAGTACAAAGGAAGTGAGAATAGCTGAGCAGTGTGCTCTTGCTGCTGTGCTGTGTCTCCTTGTTCTGCAGGTCCCCGCTCCAGGCACCTCTAGGGATCTTGCCCAGAATGTTAATTTGTTTCACAGCCTTTTCTGACCTCTGGTGTTTCTTTTGGTGTCCCAGTATAGTTACAATGGCTGTTTTCAGGTCTGCAGAAAGAAACCCTTTGACAGCCCAATCTGGGTGGTGCAAATGGTAGATGCATTTTTCAGCTCCCGAATGATTCTCTCTCATTCTTTTTGTGGCGCTTCAAGGGTGTTGTGATTGCTGTGGTGACAATTTAATCCTCAGTGTGTGTTGGCCTGTGAGATTCCTGCAGGAGGAAGCTGAAACACCAGCTAAGGTGATGATGTTAAGAGAGATGCTGAGATTGCACCATGGGAGAGTAAAGTTACTTAACTTGTGTGGTGGTTTCTAGTCTAGCTCTTCTACCCTGAACGAGAACACACAGTCTCTCTTGGTATCAGACCACCAAGCGATGTGTACAGATCCTAGCAGCTCTAAGCTTGCCTAGTGTGACCTGTCAGAGCAGGTGAGAAAAAATCATAGGTAGGGTCTAGCAACCAAGACTCTGCCCTTTAAGACAGTGTGAGAGACCAACTCCTCTGAAAGAATCTCACAGCTGTTTTCTTCCCTGTGCAGGAACCCTTGACGGATGCAGAAAGGATGAAGTAAGTGTCCTGCTCCCCCTTTATGCCTGTCATACTGCAAATGTGTGGGTGCTGATTCCTCGCGTCACGCCTGTGCCACCTGCACAGCAAAGCTGACTGTCCCTGTGGGCTTCTCTCAGATCTTCAGTCTTCTTGGAGCCATGTGGGCAGAGCTTTAGTCTGTGCCTTGCCAACCTCTGCCTTGCATGTCTTTCCCCCTGGAGTGGGAGGGAACACAGATGCCCAGTGCAGGTGCAGGCAGAGGAGTTGGTGGGTGTGAAAGAAATTAGGAAACGAAGCCTTTAATACAGGTGGAGGGAGGAGTGCCTTTTTTAACCCTTCTTCTTGTTACCACTGTTTTAGTGTAAACCACCAGAAGCAGTATGCAGAGGCCTGCTGCTGACTAAGCACTTTGGTGGTGGTGATGCGGGGCACACACAGCTGCTAGCACTGAGCTCTAAGCCACAGTGAGGAGCAAGCTTGCAGTGCCAGAGAGAAGCCCTGTTTCTGGGTTTCTCTGAGCAACTGAGCACAAAGGAATGGAAAACAACAGGAAATCATTCTGACCACCAGGCATGTCCTGGCTGGGGAGGAACAGAGCAGTCTGTGTTGGAATGGGATTTACTGGCAGCTGTGATCACATCTGTACATGTACCTCACCATCTCTGCTTCTGGGCTTAGGACTGTATGGAGTCCTCTTTCTACCACGTATTAAAGCTATGAGGGCTTTTGAACAGTTTCAGAGGAGGAGAAAATTATCTTACTCTTTGTCTTTAACTCTTCTAACCTGGACTGGGATAAATTATTGAGCAGGTTTCATTCACCAGTGAGGGATACTGGAGCTGCACAGCTCATCTGGTTAGTGGGCTTTATCCAAGCCCTGTAAGCCGAGAGGGAGCTGGAAGCCATGGCTGGCCAGCTGGCATGTGCTGCTGTGCCCCTGCTCCAAGAGTTTGAGTCTCCCTCTCCTGACAGATGCATCTCTAGCTGCGTGTGCTGGAGTCTCCTGCCAGTTCAGTTCCTGATTTCCTGGGGCCCATCTGTGGGGCCTTGGGCCCTAGAGCAGGGCAGCAGGGTGGGGGTGCTGGTGTGGAGTACCCCTTGTGCACTCAGTGGTACCTTGTTCCTATGTGCCACAGGCTACTGCAGCATGAGAATGAAGAGCTGCGCCGACGGCTGATGTATGTGACTAACAAAATGGAGGCAATGGAAAGGGAGCTGGAGTCAGGTCAGGACTACCTGGAGATGGAGCTGGGCCAGAACCGTGAGGAGCTGGAGAAATTCAAGGACAAGTTCCGTAGGTATGAAAAAGAAAACAAGAGGGATAGAGTTGGAGAGATCCCTCCCACCAAGAACTCTCTCTCCTGGCATGAGCAGGCTGCCCCCTGTTGTGTAAATCCAAGGCATGCTGCACCCTCAGAAAGGTGCACCCCCAGACTGGGGCAGTTAGAGGCTCTGCAGCCATTACTTCCTCCAGGGTACAGTGTAGGAATGCTATCAGTGTGAGGGGCTGATAACAACAGGGAATTCTTCATCTGTTGGATCACAGAATCACAGAACGTTAGGGATTGGAAGGGACCTCAAAAGATCATCTAGTCCAATCCCCTTGCCGGAGCAGGAACACCTAGATGAGGTTACACAGGAAGGTGTCCAGGCAGGCTCTGAATGTCTCCAGAGAAGGAGACTCCACAACCTCTCTGGGCAGCCTGGTCCAGTGCTCTGGTACCCTCACTGAGAAGAAGTTTCTTCTCAAATTTAAGTGGAACCTCCTGTGTTCCAGCTTGTGCCCATTACCCTTTGTCTTATCATTGTTTGTCACCGAGAAGAGCCTGGCTCCATCCTCGTGACACTCACCCTTGATATATTTATAAACATTAATGAGGTCTCCCTCAGTCTCCTCTTCTGCAAACTAAAGAGACCCAACTCCCTCAGCCTTTCCACATAAGGGATGACAGGATCCAGCTTGGATTCACTACCCCACATGTGAAAAGGAGCCATTGATGGCTGCAAGGAAGTACATTGCCTCAATTAAGAATCAATGCCAATTGCTGGTCACGTGCTTATACATGACATACCTCAGAGGAGTCCTCCAAAGTCATTCACACCCTCCTCTGCAAGATCATTTCACCAAGCCAACCTCATCTGGCCTCCAGTAACTGGGGGTCTGAAGCCATTATGTGGCAGAGGTGAACTATGTGGCATAGTTAATTTGCCTGGTTGCCATAGTACTGTGAATACCAGTCTTTCTGGAGTTATGGACTTGGTGGTTTGCTTGGCAGCTTTGAAGGTGGCTTGAGTAGGTGCCTGAAATCCATTCCCATGTATATCTGGTTTCTGTAGGTTGCAAAACAGCTACACCGCTTCCCAGAGAACCAACCAAGACCTGGAGGAGAAGCTGCATGCCCTGGTAAGTGCCCTATTAAGATACTACAGGGGGGAGGTAGAAGAGGCCTGTGTTTTAGGAGGAGTTGGGGAAAGGGGCCCTGGCTTTACCCAGCAGATGTGGCAGTGGGTGAGGGGTGAGATTCTGGCCATGACCATCCACTCCCCATTGCGGCTGGTGTCATGAACTGGTTTCTTGATTTACCGAGCCTTACTTGGTCATGCACGTGAGCTTTGGTTTCCCCACAACATAATTGCATGATATTCCGTCGTGTTGCTTCAGTCCCTCTCAAAACACCAGGGATGTGTCAGCCAGTCCTGGGGTGGTCATCCTGGGAGGACGGGGGCAGTCAGAGCAGAGCCAATGTGCGTGTATGTCTGTTGTGTGCATTCATAACACTCATGGCTGTTTCTTTTCTCTCCCTCCCTCTCTCTCTCTCTTTCTCCTCCCCACGCTGCCGCTGGCACACGCTGGGTGCACTCACCTCTCAGGCCTCTCTCAGCCAAAGCTGGATTTTTGCAGTTGCGTCTTTTCGTTTGTGTGTTTTTTCTTTTTCTTCTTTACGTGTCTCAGCCTGTTGGGTTCATTGTCAGTCTCACATACACCATCCCAGATGGAGGGGCCCCAGCCTTCGTCCAGCCAAGGGCTCACCTGGTATCCAGCAGCTGCCCAAAGATGCAGCAGGTCCTAGCTTGCAGTGCTCCATCTTAAGAGCATTTGACTCTGTGCCAGCTGGAGCATGGCGTGCTGGGAAGTGGTGCCCATAAGCTGTGGCACTGCACAAGATGTGGATGGCTGTGAGCCTCGTTTGCTCCCTTTCCTTCCCCTTCTGGGCTGTGAGCAGGCAAGTCAAACAGCTGAGATGTTGGCTGCCTCTGTGTAGCCCAGGATGAGATCTTTTTGGGTTGTAGTACTCGAATTTCTTGGGTTAATATTCATTGTGCTGGTGCCTGAAGAGACTGCCCTCCCCTACCCCCTTGTGTGTTACTGTGCTGTACCCCCTGACACACAACTGGGCACTGGTGGGCACAGCCTCAGAGCAGCCTGGGAAAGCATTGGAGGAACTTCTTGAGAAAAGGATGGCTTGGTTGTTTTGAGCTGTTGCCCCTCTCTGCTGTTACATCTGGGTCTCTCTCAGCCTTGTACCTGAACTGCTGGGGAGTGTAAAGAGGCAAAACTGCCTGCTTTAGGAAAGACATTAACTGAGCTCCAGATGAAGCTGCACAGGTCCTTTTTCTAACTAGAGTAAAGCTTGAGCTCTTTCAAGCCAGTGCCCTCTCGCTGCCAAACAACCCTTTCATCCATTCAGCATTGACCGCTGGCTCTTTATGGGCAGTATTCTTGTTCTGTTGCCCCAGAGACACAAGCTCAATATCACAAGCTCAGAGGTCTTTGCTGCCTGTAGCAGGGTGGGATTGACTGCTCAAAACCACTAGCTTTCCACCAGACACCATGGGAACCAGGGCAGAGAGGAAGCATGGTTGTGCTGCAAGAGATACTGCATTAAGGAGGTTCAAACTCAAGCTGTTGTCTCTGTAACTAGCAGAATGGCTGGTTCCATTTGGTGTCCCTCCCCTGGTAAAAAAACAGACTGTCCCCCTTGTCTGTCTGTCTGAAGGTCTTTGTATCTGAGCTGAACATGTCATTGTGCTATGCTTGGGCTGAGGTGGGTGGTGAAGCCAGGTTCTTCTGTGTTGGGGAGATTTACACCTGATGTTCTTGCATCCCAGATTAAAAAGGCAGAGATGGACCGCAAGACGCTGGACTGGGAGATTGTAGAGCTCACTAATAAATTGCTTGATGCCAAAACTACCATCAATAAGCTGGAGGAACTCAATGTAAGTGACAGTCTGCAAAAGGCTGTAGAAGTGTGTGACCTGTGGGCTTTTCCTCTTGTTCAAAGTCGTTAGTGTAAAGGAACATGCAAATTACTTCAGTTTGTATGAATGTGTGTATGAAAGTGTGGGAGCTGCACACACGGTAGGGACAAACAGAAAAGGGTCTGAGGGCTTGAGAAAGGAAGAACTGATCTTCAGGTTTGATGTATTTGCTTTATTGAGCTCAGGGTTTGTCCCAAGTCTAGGCTGTACCAACAGTGTGTGTTCATTTCCTTTATAGCTGGGAGGGACCTGATGCCTTTTTTAGACCATTATTACAGAAGTTCCTGGATCTAGTGCTTGTTTCTGTTGACTGCTCTCAACTCCTTCCAGTCTGTCTGCAAGATGCCTGACATCAGGCATGGCTGAAAGTTCTGGGATGGGGTAGCAAATCTGTTGGGACTTCTGAGGATTATTAAAATCCCCAGTGGGAGAGTGGGTTGATACACTGACAGCGTGTATGCCTGGAGTTGAAAGGGACACCTTGGCTCAGTTGTAATAAAATACACAGGGGTGTGGAGAGGAGGGAATGGCAGGTGCCCTCATAAGCAATACATCAGATGCCACCTCCTGCTTCTGTTCAAGCAGCATTTGGTCAGGTGGTGCCTTTTCAGGTAAGAGATCTGACTGGTCTGACACCATTGCACACCTGTGCCCTTTCTTGCAGGAACGCTACCGACAGGACTGTAACTTGGCGGTACAGCTGCTCAAGTGCAACAAGTCCCACTTCAGGAACCACAAGTTTGCTGATGTGAGTAGCCATCCTGCTGAGCTGGGGAAGATGGGCTCGTGGTCACCGCCTGCATCTTACGTACTCCAGCTTTCTCTGTAGGGCTGTTGGCCTCTCATCCTTCAGCCTCAGAGGGGTGGGGGGGGCCTGTTCCCACTCCCACTGAGAAAGCAGCACAGAGCCTCTGCCAGCTCCTCTTTCACACCGGCTCCATTTCACAGCTCAGCCAGAAGCTGTTATAAAAAGCACAATAACCTTGAATTTGATAGCCTGCTGGGTGCCTGATGGGAGCTGACAGGAGGACAGATCTCTCTTACCCTGCTCTGTCCTCTTCTCTTCCTCACCTGGCCACACGGAAGGGCCGCACTGCCTGATAAGTAGTCAAGTAGCAGTAGTCTGGCCTTGCTTCGCTGCTTGCTCTGAGGAGAAATGTGAGAGGCAGCATTCAGAGTCTCTTTTAGGTCTCCTGAATGGAAGAAGTTGGTACCAACTCATACTCCCCCTGGTGGGTTCTGTTCAGCTCATCCTGCCCTCAGGTTGGGCAAAGACAAAGGGTTAGGCTTTTCATATTAGTAGCATCACTTCTTCGATTGGAAGTATTTTTCAGGCCCTTACCCCAGCTTTCTCTGTGTCATACCACTAGTCTCCGGCCCTTCCTCTCAGCAAAATCATGTGCTTGTCTTTTCTAACGTAGCAGGTGACCAGTATGTCACCCTCCCCCATTGTGTCTCAAATTAGAACTCTTGAGGTCAGTGTATCAGTTACTGCTGGGGTAACCTTGACCTCTCTACCAGCTGTCCCCCCTTCCTGGAGCTTTGAATTCTGCCCCCCAGAGTGCTGCATCCCACGTGGAGGGGAGTTGGTGCTGAGCAGCTGTGCAGACAGTGCCTCACAGCCAGCTGCTATCATGCAGTGTGCCCTGCGTCCCCAGCTTTGGACACAGTTTCCTTCTGGCTGTGATGGGACAGGCCTTGCTGTGCCACTGAGTGGCCTGTGAAGCCCTGCTCTCTGCTTCATGCTCTGCATGGGTGTGGTGACCAAGGTGAGGGCAGCTTGGCAGGGTGATGGGGAGAGCAGTAGTGCCCATTTGCACGACAAGGAGCAGTGCTTTTATCTCCTGTTGAGACCCCAGTCCTGCAGCTTTGGTAATAAAACCCCATGTTTGCCTCTCTGAAACAGAGAGAGTGAGGAAGTGGGATGAGGTGGTGGAGTCTGCGGGAACAGGGGAAGGCATCGATTCTGGTCTGCGGGCCCGCTGCCAAGGGGGCATGGCTGCAGTTACCACATTCAGGGAGCACTGCAGATCCCAGCACTGGGGGCTGTTGAGTCACTTCAGTGCAACCACCAGCTGATTTTCCACAGATCAATAGACCTCTTCCTAGCATGTGCTGGCTGGACCTTGTATCTGTGCTCACAGGCGTGGGGGACTGAGCACGTGTGTTGTTTTTTCTTGTTCTCTTTGCAAACTGGGGCCTGTGATCCATGGTGGAGAAACATGACTTGTGTGACAGCTAGAGAACCTTGTTAGTCCCTCATGTGGGGCAGGTTTGCTTTGAAAGAGAGACCTTCCTCAAGGCAACATATGCGAATGTTAAGGTCAAGATAAAAGGAGTAGAAAGTACACGTGAAGGTTGGTTGGAAAGGGCAGATTATTTGGAACTTAGTGGTTTGCGTGGCAGCCCCCTCTAATGTCCTTTTCCTTCTCCCTAGCTTCCCTATGAGCTGCAGGACATGGTCAATAAGCATTTGCACAGCACTCAGGAGTCCTCAGGCCCTGGTCAAGAGACAACCCACACCTTGGCTCCATCTGATGTTGTGCCCACCTCAGTCATTGCCAGAGTCTTGGAGAAACCAGAATCTCTGGTTCTGAATTCAGCCAAGTCTAGCAGTGGCAGCTGTCCCATGGCTGAGGATGTCTTTGTGCATGTGGACATGAGTGGAGCCCCTCCTGATGCCTGCAACAGCACAGGACAGATGGGGAAGGAGGGAGGAGATGCAGGGAAACAGCAGAATGGTGGCTGCAAGCCACAGAGCAGTGTGGAGAGCCTGCCAGACGAGGTGCCTGCCTTTGAGAAGCTAAGCCCATACCCTACACCCTCACCTCCCCATCCTATGTACCCTGGGCGCAAAGTGATTGAGTTCTCTGAGGACAAGGTAAGGATCCCAAAGAACAGCCCCCTGCCCAACTGTACCTACGCTACACGCCAGGCCATCTCCCTTAGCCTGGTACAGAGTGAAGATGAGAGCTGCGACAGGCATCGGACACTTCCCAACAGCCCTGCTTCAGAGGGGCGCCGTTCGGCCTCCAGCTGTTCCTGTCAGCAGTCCCCCAAAGCAGCCAGGGCTCATGGCTCTTCCCAAAGCAGCCCATTCAGCAGCCCTCCCCAGATCCCGAGCGCCTTTGCCAGCTCTGCCAGCTCCGAGGAGGACCTGCTGGCCAACTGGCAGCGTATGTTTGTGGACAAGGCACCCCCCACCTCAGAGCGGGTACTGATGAACCGCACGGCCTTCAGCCGTGACACGGCCCCTGAACTCCAGAAGAGGTTCAGCCGCTCCATGCAGGAGCTGGGCAGGGCAGCCTCGGCTTACTCAGATGGTGAGGAGTCTGCACAGAGCTGCAGCTGGACAGTGAGCCGGGACTCGAGCGTGGACACTGACAGCACCGAGTCCAGAGCTCGCAGGAGCCATTTCTCCTCAGACTATGGAACAGATTTCTCCCAGGATGAAACCCAGAAGCTGTTGCAGGGAAGTGGTGGAGGCACTGCTGAGCCTGGATGTCCCTCACCAGAGAAGCACAAGGACTATGTGGACCTTGGCTTGCCTGAGAGCCCAGCTGAGGAGAGAGAAATGTTGCTCCAGGGAAGCAAAGAGAGCAACCAAGGAGGTGCCCAAGAGGAAAGTGGAGAAGGCAGAGTTAAGCTTCCCTTCAGTCGGCCACACCGCAGCCCCAAGAGAATGGGGGTCCACCACTTACATCGCAAGGACAGTCTGACGCAAGCCCAGGAGCAGGGAAACCTGCTCAGCTGAGGCAGGGCGAGAAGCAGCTGCACACTGCATAGCTGTGGGCTGCCTCTATCTCTCTGCCTTCTGAGAGAGAAACCTCTCTCAGTACCCTCCTCCTGAGGGGGCTGTGCTCTGAAATTTTCTATTTATTCTCTTCTTTTGCTACCTGAAAGAGCTGAGGTCCCCCTTCCCTGGCACCTCAGACCCACAGTAGGAGCACACACAGAAGCACACCCACTGTCCCAGTACACTCGCAGCTCTCTTCACCGCCTCACACTGGTGCCTGTACCGGAGCTCGTTCTTGGTACCCCTCGTCCTGGTGCCTGTGCCTCTTTATGCTTGCATCTTCCTTCCCCCTTCCCACTCAGGTACCTGAGGCCCTGGGTGCTTTCATGCTGGTTGCCCACAGCTGCTCTGCTCTCTTTTAACTTGTGCCAACAGGGCAGAGTGCCTGTGTGGTGGTGTCTGATTCCCTGGGAGCCCGCAGGGGCCATGTGAGTGAGGCACGAGGACTCTCCCAGCGGATGGCTGTGGGCCCCTGGGGATGTGCTGGGATGTGCTGGGATTGCTGGTGTCTCATTTTCCTCTTGGGATTTGTTTTCCTCGGCTGCCCTCTGGGTGATTCTCCAGAATCTGCCTCTGCAGGTCCCCATCGCTCGGCTCCTGCGTCAGGCTCAGCACCTGGCTCCTGCTGAGGCAACACAGGGGTGCTGGTGCTGCGGCGTGGGATGCGGGTGCTGTCTGCTGAGGTGGTTTGGGGAAGCACTGCCTGTTAGGCCCTGGGGTTCGTGTGTCTCCTCCCTCACACCTCTTCCCCCGCTCTCCCTGCTGTTTTGTTTGAACGGTGCTGATGCTTTGCTCTTGGGTGGGCTTCTTTCTTCTTTCCAAGCCTTTGGTTTTGGGGTGTATTGTTTTTTCTTTCTCCCCACCCTGCATAAACAGACACAGCCGTTGGCAGCCAGTCCAATGCCTGCGCTGAGGGTGTGTTGAGAATGCTCAGCTCTCGGAGCTGTGTTTCCCTCTGATCCTGGCCTCCAGCCTGCAGAAACCCCTCAAGGTCTTTCCCTGGGCAAGCAAGGCATGAAGGAGACTACTGTGCATTTCTGGGCAGGGCTTGGTGCAGGGCCAGCAGGGATGCAAGGGAAGCGTGCTGAGGAGCTGCTCCCTGTTGACGCACTACCTCATGGCTCCGCAGCAGCCCTTTGCCGGGGTCTCCTTGCATGCTCCCTTCTCCAGGGGGCTCCAGGCTGCCTCTGGCACCTCTCCAGGACCTCCCCTTCTGGGTAGAGCCTCTCTACGTGTTTTTCCTAGTGCAGTGTGATACTGTGTGACTTTTCTTTGCAGTCTTGTGTGCTTGGTGTCTTGTTGGGGGGGAGGGAAGGGGAGATGTCTGTAGCTGTAGGTATTTTTTTGAGGGCTTACAGAGCCCAGGTGTCCCTTTTTAATTTTGTCATGTGCCCTCATCTATGTGGTGTTTCATGGCTGCCCTGGGGGTGGGAGGCAGAGGATAGTCTGATTCCCTGGGCTGTGTCCCCCTCACATTCTGCTGGCTGGCCTCAGCCTGCTGTCTGTTGGGCTTTTTTTGAGTTGGGTTTGTGTTGTCTTCCCACCCTACTCAATGAGGGCTCTTTGCTGGGCTGTAGGAGAGCAGCCCTCTCTCCAGGAGGGAGCTTCCATTCATACATATACAGCAAAATGTGCAGCCAAGAGCTGCCTGGAGGCTCTGCTCCCCTCCTCAAACACCAGTCTCTGCAAAGGGCCAGCAACTTGCAGCTGGGGCCAGCCAGGGCTTCAGCTCGAGCCTGGAGGCTCCAGGGCCTGTGAAAGGGAGCTACAGGTCTCTCTGGTGGCTGGGTAGGTTGGTTTGCATACCCTGCCTACGTGCTCACCTTGGTTTCGCACCTCGAGCAGCTGTGGAGCTGGATGCCACCCTCTGGCAGGGAGGTGGGACTCAGTATTTCACTACAGTATTTCGCTTGATACCTGTGTGAACTAGCTGGTGCTGAGAGCAGGAGCCTCCTCTGAGCCTGCAGAGTCCCCTGTCCTGAACGTGGTGGTGGGGTCCTTGCATTTGCTCTCATCAGCCACACCACTGCTGCATTTCTTCCCTTCTGCGGCATTGCTGAGGGCTTGCATCCGCAGTGGCTGCCAGCTCCTGCCCCACAGACATCACCCAGGGCTGAGTGCTCACCGAGTGAGCTCCTCTGGCTCTGAGGCTGCTGGTGGCCTGCCTGTGGGACAGCACAGCCTCTGGGGCAGCGGGGAAGGCATTGCCCCACAGGGCTCAGCCAGATCTCCCCTGAATCCTGACATGCTGGTCAGGGGATAAAACCCATGCTTGCTAAAGCAGCTGGTGCTGATGGTGCTGCGCAGAGCCAGCCCGCCCCCCTCTGCTGTTGGTCAGGGTAGACTTCAAAGCAAAACAGTAGAGAAATGGAGGGATGACAAAGGGGTGCCCAGCGCCTCACCAGACACTTCTGCATCAAGGGGGAGTGGTGGCCTCAAGAGGAGCAGAGCCCTCTCCTGGCAGGCTCGGTGCCTGCCCCCTGCACTCCTGCTCACCTCCAGCAGTATTGGCTCTGGGGCCTTGAGCTGACCCCACTTTCAGTGTCCCAACTCCAGACTGTTAATCTGTAACTAATGTGGGGGTTTTTCTGAAATTTTCAAACTGATGTATATTTTAAGACCAGAAATAAACTATTTTAAAAGTAGGTGCTGATGGCTATAGTGCGCTCTCTGTTGGTTAAGACCTAGACCGGAGTCATCCTGAGCACGTGAGGCAGCAGCACCTCTTGTGATATGATGTCCCATGTTTGCTGAACGGCGTGTGCCACCTGTTAGCTCTCCTGGGGAGAGGGATCCTGTGGCTTGTAAGCTTTCCAGGTGCCTATGAATTCACTGGTCATCCTCAGTGCCTGCTTTGGCAGCAGCCTGGCTCAAGGTGTTTGTGCAAATCAAGTCATCAGTGCTGGAGATGAAGTGCAGCCCCAGGCAAGGAGAGGTGTGTGGGATGAGCGGTGTTTTAGATCTGTAATTCTATCCAAGCTCTGGAAACTGCTCTCTGGGTCTGAATGCAGATGGTCAGCTCAAAGATCAGACCAGAATCTGCCATTCACAGCAGCACTCTTGTAATTTTTGACTCAGAAGCTGACAGTGGCTTAAAAAAAAAAAGAGCAGATTGTTTTTTAATGTTTCTTAAAGTTGCCTGGTTAAATCCTGTGGGCAAATTTCACATTATTTGAAGGCTGTAAAGACTGGTCTTGTTCTGTCAAAATCTCTGCTGTGAACCCTCTTGTGCTGTAAGCAGGCACAGTCTTACTCATACAGTTCTGCTTGCCCCATTTCAAGTATTTTGCTGTGTCTTGGCCAAGACGTCCATGTGCTGATTTAAGATGAGGTATAGCTAATTATTTTAATATTTGGTGTTTTTCTTGAAGCCCCAACCCTCATCATTATGTGAGTTACATGGGAACATGTAACATAAGCCCCCTCTGGAATTTAATAGAGTTTTATAATTCTAATGTCAGTACTTTCTGTGTGGGGAGGGAGGACTGGGGTTGACAGGACATACCCCAGATAGGAAGCCCTCCAAACATGAGAGAGAGGGAGTTCTTGTAGGATGCTGACATGGACATTTGGAAGTTTTTCCTTTTCATGTTGAATGGGGATGAAATTTCCTCCATCTCCCAAGTTCTGCTGCCTGTGCCCTTCTGACCTAGGTGTATGAAAAGTGTAACACTGGAAGGCTTCCTTGTTTCTTTGTCCCTGTAATTAATGATTTTATTTTGTGTTCCCTTCAGCAGCAGCTGCTGCCACAATTTAATCTTCCAGCTTAATCTGAGCCCTGAAACACAATCTTCCTTGCCTCGCTCTGGCAAGGGGCACTTGGCCATGCAGTGAAGCTGGGAGCACTGGTGCCAGCCTCCCTGGCCAGAGGGAAGGCCTGGGGGACAGCAAATTGGGCTATGACTGACCTCCCCCCAGGGCCAGGTGAGCATCCCTGAGAAGCTGCCCCTGCACGGATGGAGAAAGCCCAGGGGTGGCAGAGGCTCCAAGCCCCTGGCACGGTACCCTGCCCACCCCTCTCACGGGGCAGCTGCTGGTACCCATCAGTGTCTGCCCCACCGAGAGTGTAGAGTGATAGAGGCTCAGGCTGCTGTGAGTGGTGCCACATCTGTGACCTTTATAAAACTCTTACTGTGACAGCAGTACAAGCAATAGAAAGAACATCTCTTATACACATCTGAATAAATACAGCCTGTGCCCTGCACGCACAGCCGGGTGTGGAGGGGAGGCAGGGCTGCGTGAGCTACACATGCAGCGACTGGACAATCACAAGAGGCCGACGGGGTGCATGACAACACAGAGACGTGTGGAAATTCGCTTGGCCCAGGCTCCGGTGCTGAGAGAGCTGAGGGAGGCATCAACAGGATGTGAAATGTGAGAGAGGACGGCTGGGGCAGCCCATCGGAGGCAGGGGCCTGGCGGACGCGTGCTCCCCCAGTGGGCACGGTGTTCTTCTCGGCAGAAGCAGGCAGGGTAGCCCAGCTACATTTCTGTTTCTGCTAAGAGGCTGTCACCGAGCCCTGACGTCATCAGGACCATCTGGGAGCTGGAATCTGTGGCGAGAGAGGGAGAAAAGCATGAGCCGTTTGGGCTGCTGGAGAGTGCAGAGCTGTACTCCACATCCAGAGGTGAGGATGAGGAATTGGAGCGCTGCAAGGTGGGAAGCAAACTGCTGCAAGAATTCTGAGATTAAGTAGTAACCAGGTCTACTCTGGCCACGCAGCAGAACAGAATTGATGTTTGGGGCGGGGGGAAGGCAGAGATGGCAGCAAGACCCCAGGGTGGGGATCGGCATTTGTGATCTTGGCTGTCAGACATCAGCTCTGAACCCTCCCCACGTACACTTGCAGGTGGTACCAGTTTGCTGACCCAGCCATGCCCTTCTCCAGCCCTGCACAGACCTTTCAATCTGTGCTCACCGAGTGTCTTTTCAGCCATGGTGTCCAGGTGGGACAGGC